GATCAGCCTCCAGCCTGGTAACAAACAAAACAACTGTGTCGAGTTAAGAACAAAATCGTAGCAGCAACGGGAGTTATGCTGCAGTAAATGGAGTGTGATGAATAAAACAATACATTGCCACTTGACACCAACAAACTACAATCCAAAATAAACGCACTAAACTCTTGACCCGTCATTCCTCAGAAAAAACGAATTTATTTATTTTTATGCTGATTCCCAGGTATAATCAAATGTTATGGTATTCTCACCATAATGACTTGAAATGTGTTGAACTCAATAAAGTTTCAATTTCAGTAATAAAAAGGACTGTAGTCAAAGTTTAGGGCCTAAAGCAGCTGAACGAGGCCATTCAAACCATCTCATGAAATGCATGATTGTCATTCTGCACACAGTAAAGGGAGACACAGCGAGCAGCAGCCTGTTATATTGAAGCTACTGAACAGGTAAGATGTTCTCAGGGATTGTTGACTCAGTGTAAAAGCCCGCACTTAGAGGAATACAAAGAGTCAATTATAAGGCGCACTGCCGGGAGTAAATTACATGAATCGTGTGGAAGCAAGCAGTGTCAACAACACACGACCTAAATGAAATGTTAAGGAGCTGTAAAAACAAACATCCTCTTGTTTATGGATACTGCCTCTGTGAGTGTAACTGTGTTCTTCATAAATGTCCTGTGTGTGTTTTCCTCATCCAGACGCTTTCTTTTGACAATCTGCTGGGTATCTTCCACGAGAACAGCTGCCTGCCTTTCAAATGTGAAGACTACAGCAGGCTTAAGTCTGTTTTGTTTTTTAACGATACATTTTATATTCATGCTTCTTTCGGGTTGAGCCTTACATGGTTTGCTGTTTTGGGGCTTTGACGTGATTTCTGAGCTGTGAGCGGATCAGTGAAGACACTGCTTTCAAAATCACCACAGGAGGAAAACTGCTTGTAAGACAAACTCAGAATGTATTTCAGCAGATGTGCAGCTGAATAATGCATTTTCTCCTGCAAGAGCTGCAGTCATTGGATAAAATACTTTTATTTCAAAGACGCAAAACGTATAAAACATTGGCTTATTTTCTCACATAAAACACTCCGAGAATAGCCGACTTACTTCTGCATTTAAAGTGCACCATTGTATCTCTTGCAATATTTTTTTTATTTGACTTCCTATTTATTATATGCCGCACTGTTAGCTTGGCCCAGGACTTAAGATGTTCATCGCCAACAACTACACTACTGCTGCTGCTGCTTTTGTGCACAGGACAATAAAACCTTTGAACATTGAAGGAAAAACAACTTTTAGTAAGAGCAGCTGTCCAGTTGTAAATAACAATTTGTCTAAGCGCTTCCCACATGAGAACAAGAGGAATGTGCTGCATACCTGTGTAGTGTTTCACCAGCTTCTGCAGATTCTCAAACTGGGCCCGAGTGGTGATGTAATAACCTCCGTTGTCCAGCTTTCGGATCTTGTAGTGTTTGACGTTGTCGCCCTTCACCTCGTCCCAGTCCCGGAGAGACAGAGAGTAGGCACCTTTAGGATCCACAGGAAGTCAGTTAGATTGAGCAGCAGAAACTCTTGAATCTGCATCACAGGCTTTCATCCCACAGAACATCTGATAAACATAAAAACACATTTTAACTTCTAACCGACATTCAAATAAGAAGAACTCCCATATAATGAACATATGGCCGCAATAAAACGGAGCCCACAAGCACAAATAAGGAAAGGCTTTCATCATTGCCTTTAATATCAAAACTGCAGCATTTTCATTACGGTCTGGCTTTTCATGAAATGAATCCTCTTACCTTTGGTCGTCTCACTCTCTCGTGCCAAGAAAGTTCCCCGCTGGTTCCCTGGATGCAATAAGAGGCGCTCGGCGTCTTTGCGGCCCATTTTACCAAAGTACCATCTGCAGAAAGAGAGTGAGAGTCAGACAGGAGGAGCTCCACATGTCATAAACTGCATAACAAGTAGCATTTTCTGTGTTCGGGTAATAAGAGCACTGCTGGTGGAAATTCTCTGGGTTTAGATGAATCCTAAACACCCGGTCTATAAAATTGTCAAGTCAAATATTAAAGCTGGACAGAACATAATATATTGTTAGTCAGTTTTACATAACATTCATTTACAATACCAGCAGTTTTTATGTGGTTCATATGTGGTTACCTTCAAATCAGAGGCAATAAAATAATAGGCAATAAAATACCTTAAAATCTAATTTAAGACAACATAATGGATATCACATTACTATAATTACAGCTTTTTAACTTTACAACTTTTTAGCCTGATCCATTACATGTAAGGGGCTATTATAAATAAAGAAAACATTAGATAATGTCTGTAAAGAATGTTAATAACTAGCTTTTCTCATTTGTTTATGAGTAGTGAGAGTTTTAAGAGATACAAATACAGTCATGTTGAATTGAAAACATTTCTCAACACTAAATGAAGAAGGAATTAAAACTCATAACCTCTGTTGATGACTTGCACTCAATCTTTAAGATTAAAGCTAACGTTTTGGGCTAGTTTCCACCAGGGTTTTATGAGAAGCTTAAACATCTTGTATTAGTCAAATGGCTGACAGCCAATGCGAAACCAGGGCAGAGCTGTCTGAAGCACTCGTTTCTGTCACACCGGATGAACAGCAATGGGAATGCCAGCGACTGTCAGCCACTACACAGGCCTCCATTGTTTACACTGTCAGTACATGACGGCTGAGTCACAATGTGTGAGCGCCCAGCCGCATCATGTCTTCTTAATCAGAGAAATAACCGAGCAGGGGGAGAAACAGTACAGGAATGTGAAGGAGAAGAGTGAAAGAAAAAGCGAAATTCAAATTGGAGGATGACGGAGGTAGAGATAGATAATAAGCTCTCACTCTTCAGCCTGTATGGAGTCGGCTGGAGCCACGTAGTTACTCGGGATGTAACCTTTCTGCCCCGTGTTGATGGAGCGAGCCTCCCACCAGTCGCCTTCCCTGAGAGAAGAAGTTCATTCGAAATAAAAAAACACACAAAAGCATGATTGGAAAAAATACACCTACTGTAAACAGGTAGGTGGAACACAAGGTCTCATTCTGCGTCACTCAACACGTCAGGAGTCAGTTTTGTTATTGAGACACATCAAACAGAGGAGGAGGAGGAAGTAAAAAGTATTATAATGAAAAACTTTTCTGTTTTGTTTTTAAAGGAAAAGTGAATGTCCTGCATTCAAATCCTAATTAAGTTTAAGTAATACTGAATCATCTGTTAAATTCTTAACATATACAAAGTAATTGTTCTGCAGTAAATGGCCCTGATTGACAGAACTAAATATACAATTCAACAATATAATAATAATAATAATAATAATACAGTTGAATCAATGCACATGTGCTGTTCTTTACATAAGTTGGCATTTTGAAAGGCTTTCATTTTGGTTTTAATGTAAGATTTGTCTAAACGTATTCCGTATACGGAATGTACGTAACGTATTCAGTCCATTTCGAACAATCAGAAACTTTATGCCAATGGAAAACATTAAAGTTATATGACTAGAGAAGAAATAATAAATGAGAGGGGGAACTGAGGTGAAGGGAAAATCTGTTCTCTTCCTATTCTTTCTCTGAAAGCAGATGGCCTTTCATTACTGCTAAAGCAGAATGTCCATGGACAGCAGCTGGAGGACTGAGGGATGCATTTGTGGAGAACTTGGAGCTCTGCCTACTTTCACACCTGTGCACACCTGGGAGAAAGATGATGCTGATACAATAGGACAGAAGAAATTAGTAGGAAATTCTTCATTTTTTCATCATAATTCTTTGTATATTCCTTTAGTTCTAGAAATTAAGGAATATTGTATTTTGGATAATAAATATCTATTTGCAATAGAAATGCCAAACACAAAGTTAAGGATTGGAGTTTTGCAATAACTGAAATGTACAATATACTTTTAAAGAGGCATATTGAAGAGTGCATGACAATCTAATGAGTTTCAGTGCACTGTTGGTGTCTTTTAATACATAGTTAAATTCCGTAATAAATGAGTATCTTTTTTTGCCTATAGCTTGTATTTGACTAAGTGAGAGAAGAGTGGTATGTTTTACACTGTTACACCTAAATGTAAAACCCTAAACTAAAGGAAGGTTCTACATCAGAGGGAAAGCAATCTGGACTAAACAGACGGCCCATTAAAGGAAACCATTAACCCAGAATGCCTTAATACAATGAGGGATTACACACGCTTGCGCACACACACACACACACACACACACACACGCACACACGCACACACCACTGCAGGCTGTCTGCTGTCACTCTGATCGAGTTAAATCTGAGCTCTGACAGTTTGAGGCCATGCAAGTTTGGACACACACACAAGACACACCACACACACACACACACACACACACACACACACACACACACACACACACACACACACACACACACACACACACACACACACACACACACACACACCACACACACACACACACACACACACACACACTACAGTGTTCAGAGCCTCTGTACTCACGTGTTGTTGATGATCTGGAAGCGATCCCCTTTCTTAAACGACAGATCATCCGTCGTCCTCGCTTCATAGTCGTACAGCGATACGAAAAATGTAACACCGCCTGAAAACAAGAGAAACTGAGCATGAGGGGCGTGCATATTTAACATCTTATCCCACAGTAGTTTCAAAAAAGCGTTATTCCTTTAATACACAACATTGAAGCTTGAAATAAAAACAAATGTTCCTTTTCTCATTTTGTAATATTTCATACTTGGGTAAAGGTCTCACTGAGGTGAGCAAACATATTCAATGATGCTAATATTACCAATATGAATACTGTATTATGGTAGTAATGTTCAAGACTGTATGAAAGAAACCCCTTCCTGCAAATCAGGGTCTTGACCAAAATACAACTAGCTATATTCAATTTGATTTATTTTAGGAACATCAGGATATTCCCTCCACATTTTTCAAACTCTGTGGTCTCACGTGTAGTCAGTGAATCAAACGGATGTCACTTAATCTCCTCCATGTAATCAAAACAGTTGATTGGTCTGAGGTCTGCAGACACAGAGTGCACAGAGACGACAGGACTCTCATATATTCATCTGGAGGAGGAAATTGAACGGGCAGGATTAGATCACCAGAAAACCCTCAGGCTAGATTATCCTCCTTCAGAGAGCCAGGGAGTGAGAGAGAGTGTGTGTGTGTGTGTGTGTGTGTGTGTGTGTGTGTGTGTGTGTGTGTGTGTGTGTGTGTGTGTGTGTGTGTGTGTGTGAGAGAGAGAGAGAGTCTGTCAATGTATGCGTTGGTTTGTGCAGTTCCATCCAATCTATGATATAATTATGATTGACATTTTTTTTTATAAAAAAATTATAATAAAACAATTTATTTAGAAGGAACTAAATAAAAAAAAACATTCAATAATAAATATTGAAATAAAGTTTTAAAACACAAATCAATGGCACTGATAAAAACACATTAGAGGGTTAATCCAGATCAAATCAGTCAAATAGACAAATTAGACAACTGTTTTCAAATAAAACCAGTGTGCGAAAAACAACAATAGGCTTTTTTTTTAAAGATTTGAGAATTTCAAAGAAGTCACATTATAAAAATGTAAAAACCAACCTGAAAATGCACGAGATAACATTTAATGTCACAAAGATTCATTTCAACTAAAGTTATTCCAAGTAGGGCTGGGCGATATGGTCTCTAAATGATATCGCGATATTTACTGACTATATCGCGATATACGATATATANTACGTTATATATCTTGATTATACCTGTTGGGGAAATATTTTCCAAAGCCCACAGGTGCTCAGTCAGGACAGTATGAACTGATGAACTGGGTCAAAGTTATGGGCTTTGGAAAATATTTCCCCAACAGGTATAATCAAGATATATAACGTAGGTCTATATTATACTGAAAAGGGCTGATGTGTTCTTTTTTTGGTACCTGGAGTATATTTTCATGCTTATATTTCTGTACTTGAATTAGGTACAATTTCAATGCATGATTTTTCCTGAGTATTCATGCCCTCTGTTATCATTTATTCTTCATAACTAAAAAATCCATGTTTTTCATTTTTTCTGCCGTATTTACCTTTCTTCTTCTGCTCCTCCACCGCCTTTTGGATGTCCTCAAACCTCTGGGTCACCACTGCTCCAAACTCCTCCACCACACTCTTGCCGAAGTCGAAGAAGGACTCCAGCACGTCCTCCAGTCCCACCCCCTGCAGGAAGCTGGAGTCCCGGGCCGGGTCGTAGGGGTCTGCCGCGGTGTCCTCCTCCATCAGGGAGTCGGTGTAGTTCAGGAAGGCTTTCTGCAGGACCTGGTCCAGCCGGCCGCTCATCCTGGAGACCAGCTCCACGCTGCGGTTCACCAGCCCCCCAACCCTGCTGCTCAGGCTGCTGAAGGACTCCTCGATGCGGTCCGCCTCCATGTCGCTGTCCTCGGGGCCCTGGTTCACCAGGATGTCCCCTGCATCCAGACGGGCCTCTTTGGGGCCGAAGCGCCCAGACACTCTGCGGAAGAAGTTCTCCACCTACAGAGTGAAAAGAGATGGAGGTGAGTTTTTGTTATTGTAACCCAGGGTCACAAGAAGTGCATGGGGAGTAAGAAAAACTAAATTCTGCAACACAAAACGTAGTTTACTTGCTGTTCCTAAGATATTGTCTTGTTAAATAATGTAACATTGAACCTCTTCAGACCTCCAAAAATATTGAAAATAAGGCAACAAAAACAGTCCCTTTGGTTAAAGTGATCCCAACTGATGACACTACCAAGGGTTAAATACAACTAATCAAGGCCCACAAGTATTTGAAGCACTGGTCTAAAGGAAATTACATAAAAAATGCTGTTTTGGCACATTTACATGTTTTACTAGTGCAGCAATATTTATTCATTAATTGGACTAATGTCATTATTAACAAATGCAACGGGTCTTATCTGATGTTTTGATGCATTGTTTACTGAAAAATACAATAAGACAGTTCCACCACCTAGAGCCACATATTGCATCCCAAAAAGAGCCAAATAAAAGTTGTATTTTTGTTATTTTTCCCGATGTTGCTGCAATAGGTTAGGTTGGAGGTTAGAGTAAGAAAGTCTGAAGTGGAGTTGGATACCTTGGCATGGAAGAAGCCATATCCCCTGCGGCAGGTGGAGGTGTAGAAAGTTTTGCACGCGTCCTCCAGACAGGGCCTGCACTGCTCCCACTCAGACTGCAGGGACTCCTTGCACTGCTGCTCGGCCTCCTGCAGCTTCTGCGTCACCTCCTTAGTCAGCTGGTCTGCCTCCTGGTGGGAGAAGGGAAGACGTGTTTTATCTGTGTGCTTTTTTTCTGTCTGCCTGGTCAATGTTGTTCTTACCTTCTTCTTGTCACTGCTGTGTTGGAGAGACTTCATGAGGTGTTCGTGTTTCTGCTCGTTCCTCCACATCACCTGCTTCATCTGCTTCACCCCGTACAGAGCCCGCCTCACCTCCTCGTCCACAAGTTTCTCCCCATCCAGGGACAACTCTGAGTAAGAAGAACACAAATAGGGTGAAAACGATTGTCTCTTTGTTAAATAATGCAATCTGATTTACAGTATATGACATTGAAAACTAATTAAGACACTTGTAGAAAGCCTATGATGTAATTACACTGTTTACATTATCAGAATAAACAACTCTAACATACTTTTTTGCTGTGGCAGATAAAAATGTACTTTTGACTTTGATAAACAACATCAACCATGTTCCCTCTAAATGAAGGTAAAGATAAATTCAGACTTTTGTGCTGACTCACGTTTTAAGGTGTCCTTTGAGATGCCGGTGGGTTCGTCCTCCGGGGCAGAATAAAGGACCCCCAGCGTTGCCCCCAGAACAAACAAACCAAGCAGCAGCTTCATCTTGAGCTCACTCAGCAGCTTTGAAGTTTAAAACTCTGGGTAAAGGATTCTGAAAGGACATCAAATGTGATATTACTATCGGTACAGAATCAGATACACTTGAAGATCCCTGAAAAGTCTTAAGAGTATCTCATTTAGTTTTCAATATTAAAGTCTGAAAATGTTAAATTGTTGGAAGGGTCTGTATTGTATTTCTCCCCTGCACCCGCATTGCTTTTACAGTGAAATCCTACATCTCAAATAAAGATATAACCTATGTTTACTTTATTTTAAATGCACAGGGACATTGTTTTCCTTTTGACTTGATCTACTGACATACCATTTTATTTTCAAATTATAGGATTTAAATTAGCTGTATAAACACGGAAAATTTCAGTTATTACATTTCAATAAAACTCAGTAATTCTGTATACTGTAGTCTGGTTGCCCATTTCTTTTAGACCTGTTGGAACTGTTTTATTAGAGGAATTGAAAGTCTTAACTCATTACATTTGTATTTTAAGAAAATAGCAGCTACCCTGACATTTGCATAAGATCACACACTGTGTTTAAATAAGGAAACAAAAACAACAGGTTAGGTCTGTTCCAGAAAGCTAATAGGATTTGTTCTGAGCATGATTAAACGTCAAAAATACTGTACGAGGTCATAAGTGGGTCTGCCTCTTGGTGGTGCTGCACATCTGTGTACACTTAAACAACCACAGTCATGCGTCCCAAATGGACTTACATCCTTTTGATGTCAGAAGGTAACTGGAACAGTTTATTTTAGTTGGTTCGACTACAAAGATGTGTCCCAACACAACCTTTAACATATGTACAGTCATTACAGTGACGAGTAAAATACCTACGTTTTAGATTTGTACTTACTTTCGCATTAGAATGTGGAATATGTTACATGTCCGTCCTGTATGGAAAGGCTTAATTGTCATATGCAACAACTTCAACCTAGTTTTGGCAATACAACTCTTAAATTCCTCTAACAATGCATTATTTAATATACTTAAGAGATAACTGGAGTTAAATAATACTGCAAGAGACCTAATGGATTATCTACATCTAATTGTTTATATTGCTTAGCTGTGTCATTTTAACTCTACAAATACTATAAGGATTATCTCTTTCATTTTTAAGAATACACTGACCTATAGCAGCCTTGCCTTTGTTCTCATTCATAACACTCCGTTCGATGTCTCACTATGGGATGCGCCTCATCCGTGGAGCAAACAGAAGCATCAATCTCATTACGCCAATCCTGATTGGCTGGTGATCTTGACGTCAGCGTCAGGGAATCCAACCCCTATAAGTAGCTTGCGCTACGTCGCATGCGTCATTCAAACACCTCTTCTCGCTTCAGAGCACATCTCTATATCGGTAGCCGGGCTAGCTTAACAGTCCACAGACTGAACCCAAGCTAACTTCGGTCGACGGGCGCTCGCCGGCTACTTTTATGCTTCTGCAAGAAGACTGTTAGTATTAACATACCAGGTAATACTACAATCGACCTCGCCGTTGTTTCTTTTCTCTGGAAATTAAAAAGGTAAGGTTTTGACTTTCAAGCTAGCAGCACACCTGTTGCTAGCTTGCCTCCCTCGCTAACGACACCACGATAGCGAGGAAGTTTTTTCTTTTCTTCTCACACCAGAGAAGAATAGGACTAAAAGAATATTACCACATATTACCACACCAGGTAATATTATTCGAGAAAAAATCCTACGCCGTTGTCTTTTCTTCGGACTAACGACAGGTTGGAGAAGATTTTTTTCTCGGTGAAGTACCTGCTACGAGCGCGTCCTTCCCACGTCGCCATAATGGCGAACAAGATGGACACGTCTCTCCCTCACACCAGAGGAGTCAGGGAATCGGAGGCTCGGCTCTGCGGGTTGAAGATTTCGGACGCAGACTCACACCAGGTCTGCTCGTCCTGCCTCGGGCTGCAACATGCCCAGGAGGCTATCGACAACCCCGGCTCATGCGGGCACTGTGCCCGTTTCAAAGAGCCTTGCTCCGTTTATTGAACCTTATTTTCGGCGGAGCGTGAGACCGAGCCGCCCGATCTAATCATCGTATACGGAAGGAAAGATCTTCACTCTCTTAGAGGAGAGAGATCTTATACGCCGACTGAAGGAGCCGACACTTATGTCTTACGGGATCTCGCCCTCCCCCCGACTGTCGCTTAACCCCTGACATCGGGGCACATTGACAGAACTTTTGGGTTCGTCTGTAACACTCGTAGCAGGTGACAACGAGGAATCTCGGTCGCCTCTACAGTGCAGAGAAATGGGAAGACTCAGAGATAAACAACACAAATACCGGGAGATCACAGACTTGTGCCACCATGGGGTAAAGCTGTTAGGGGTGGCTGTTGACGGGGCTACGCGCGACGCCGATCGCGAGAGATATTGGGGTCGAGCAGTGACGCGCTACGCGCGACCGGCCACCACGGGAAGTGTCTGGGCAGATAATAGGCGGAAACTACTCGTGGCATGCGACGGAGAGTTTTCGCCCTTTGTTAACCGCCTGACAAATAACCAAAATAACGAAAAAGAAAAGTAAACTCGACGGCGGGAGCGGACGTTCCGGACCTGCGCGAGTTAGCTTTTACCGGAAATATCTCTTTTGTCTTGTTATAGCACTGTAGCACAAAACGGTCTGAACTCCGTACGGCGCAACTCGCGTAGAGAGTTCCGGGGTTCGCACCTTGTGTAGACCTTCGGACCCTCGTGTAGCTGAAGGTCGAGACAGTGCCTCCCCTCTTCTCCTCGGACAGTCCCGGCGAAGGCGAAGAAGAAGGTAGCTGACGACGGCGGTTTAAGGACCAACGACGGCGGACCCGACGGTCGGCCTTGGCCTATAAAAGACCCGGTTGAGCGGGGAGCAGGACGGACCCGACCGCTGAGCCCCGACCCGACACTGGAGACGACGGAAGCCATGAGACTTGGCTGCGGAGCTCCGATCGGACCCGGCTTCCTGACGGCGACACTCCCGGTCGCCGGACCTGGGAAGCTCCTCTTGTCTCCAACGCGTCCGCGCGGAGAAGGAGGAAAGGAAGAACTGAGCGTAGAGTAAGCGTACCTCTGCTCTCGTCTCGGTTTTTAGGGAGCGCGCTTGCTAGACGGCCGTACAGGCGTGCTAGGAGGAAATGGGCGCAGACCCTCCAAACCACTCCAACTCGGTAGATGAGAAAGGACGGTGGTGGTACTAAGGGTAACGGAACGGGCACCGGAGCTGTCGCGGTCGCAACTTGCGCCTCTGTCTACAGGCACTAGCGGGGGCCGGCATAGAGCAGGTCATGACGGGACCGAGGGACGCTAACGAACTGTCTAGGAGCGCGTCGGAGGCGCAACCATACGCGAATCGTTCGGCTCTTTGCGAAGTTGCAGGACCGGGCCAATGTTGCGACGCCGAGACGGCATCGCTGGCAAGTCAGCTACGCGAGCTGACCTTAGCGCGGGCCGGAAGCGGCCGTCGCGGGCGGGGGGGGCCTGAAGGCGACGACATCACCGGAAGGAGCGCATCCTCCACGCGACGTGGTCGGCCAGAGGTATCCGCCGATACGGCCTCGTCCGTCGGGAAGAGGTTATGCCGTGTCGAGATCCCTCGCGTCCGTGGGACCTCAACCCACGGAACAACGACAGCGCAGAGAGGTGCTCTGCTGTGGAGTAGGTTGTAGAGCCCTTCTGGCCTTTCTCAACGGAGAAGAAACAGGAGCAACGGAACCCGTTTAAAAAGGGGAGCAATTTGCGCTGGACCTCGCAGAGGAACCGGTAAAGCCCGGGAGTAACCCTCACAGATCAGACGCTGACGGGTGCGGACTGTGTGCCGGGACGTCGCAGGTTGACGTTCTGTCCCGCTTCGACCCACGGCCGATAGCGGGCCTCTCGGTCGTAGCGAGAGCCGAAACGTCGCGCACCCGGCTACTGTACTCTGCAACAGAGGACGGATAGGCACTCAGCGCTGTACCTCCTTAGGTCTCGCGTAGGAGAAGGCGAGGAGGCACACGGTTGAGGTCTGTGAAAGCGCCCGCTCTGGTACCACTCCAGGTCGGCCCTCGGGGGTCGACCACAATCGTGCCCCGAGGCGAGAGCGCAGAGAGCGGACCGGTGGCTCAGGGTCGGGGACTGGCACGCCCTGAGGCCCAAGACGGTCGACGGTGACGACTACTCGAGGTCTGGCGGTGGTGTCACGCCCGCGAAGGTAGAGACGACCGCCTGCGGGGAACAAGACTAATAGGCAGGTCGTTTAGCTCCCTGCTACTCGCCCAGGACCGTGGGCTGTTCGATCGACAGGCTCGATCGGCAGCCGCCTCCGGA